TATATATATCTATCAGCACTTACTGAGTCAGTCCCGCTAACTTAACCAGTGAAAAAAAAATCAACATGTCCGAAGTTCAACTTAAGCAATAACAGTATTTATGCCTCAATTGAAAGGAAAATGAATGTAAATAAAACTTATGTGTTTCGCTGCGGTGGAATCAGGTGCTCGTCAAATTTTGGGCATATTTGGAGTTATTGGTATTGTTTTAAAGCTTGTTCGTTTGCCTTGCTTTTAATGAGAATAATACTGATCTATCTTGTAAAGAAGTCGAGATATTTGTGATTGAAGTCATGTGGAATATGACATGTATAGATCTATATAATAATTATAATATAAATTTATCTGTATATTTTAACATGTCATATTCCTCATGACTGTTACTGGGGAAAGAGCTAGTGAAGAAATGGATCATAGCAGTTTCCTATTTTTCATTTTTATTTGACACCTAACACCGTTGATTTATTAATAAATCTCTACCTATTACAAATTACATGTACATAAATATATATTAATTGCCCAGTGTTATAGTTATAGAGCTCAGGAAAATGACCCATTGATTCACAGTGTACAGTTGCCAGCCGTTCCTTCTGGTTAACGCAATTGTTCTGCTGGAGTGAAAATCTTTTCAAGTGTTCTTTGAATATTGGTGAGGCAGCGTGGTGGAATCAGGCTCTCGTCAAAATAATCAAGGTGAAGAAACTTGCATTATTCCGCAGGTTTGTGAATTTTTATCAAATTTTTGTATTTTGGCTCATCACCTTTCATGCCCATTAAAGGACTAATTTCTGTGAGGATTTTTCTAAAAAACGTTGATTAAAGGAACGAAAAATGTAAATTTTCAGTTACCACGGACTCTTAAGCTAAGGAAATAAACTAATCTTTGGCTGCCATTTTCTCACAAATTTTACCTCTGAAAACAGGTGACCCCCACCTCCTTCATTCGCAAATATCTCGACTTGTGTCCAAGATAAATGGATATTTTTTTCATTCAAATAAAGACAAGGGAACAAGCTTCAAGGTGATACCAATAACTCTACATGCCCAAAAATTGACGAGTGCCTGATTCCACCGCGCTGCCTCACAATTGTTTTGTTGTGGTTTTTTTACCCCTTTACTTTTTTTTGTCTCCTTTCATGCTACATCCTTTCATTGTACCCAGTACTGTTAACATCCCTTTTTTTCTTTTATCAGTAATGTTTAGAGGTTCAGGGACATCAACGGCAATTGCACTATGAAGATAAAGCTCTCCTTTGTTGCGTTTTAAGGTTGGGTTTGATTAATTATTATTATAGTGGGGGGGGGGGGGGTTATATTGTTAAAAGTGTTTAGAAATCGTCGAGTGAACAGTTCCCATTTTCTTAAATCCCAAATTGTACTTTTTAGAAAATGATATTATTTTTGACTTTGTTATGACACTTTTATTTGGGGACCCTGGCTAAATTAGTGCTATTGAAGGTTTGACGATTCGTTGTGTATGAATAAAGTATAATATAAACGTACAGTATAATCCACTTATATGGACAGCCAATGTATCGACATATTTTCTAATTACGAAATTTTTCTTTCAATATCTTCACTAGACAATTTCTCTCTTATCTTATATCGACTTTTTTTCGGCCCACTCTGTTTTATCGACATGCTTCCAGGGTACCTGGCGAAACCCCCGAACGCTAACAGTCAACGCATTAGTTCTTTATCATTTATGCCGTCTGATACCTGTGTCTGTGTCACCTCCCTACCCCCATCCCTATCACTCACTCCCTTTTCCCATCCCATTCTCAGTCTGTGGCTGGCAAGTAGCACGGTCAGTGGGTCGGTGCCTTGCCTTTCCATTTTCCCCAGCAAGCGGCCATAGACAGGCCTTAAAGTTAAAAGGATGCCACAACAAAGTTGTTTAAGAATCAAGGGAAGCAACCAGCTTTAAAAAGTAGTGTTGTCTTTTTAACGCTGACCTCCCATTGTTTTTTCTCTTTGGCTTTATGTTTTAATTTATCTACATTTTTATATATTATATTGACATCAAATCCACTTCCCACTACATGTCGATAGAAGCGGATTATACTGTATAATTTTTACTACATGTTATACGTAAGTCAAGTCAATGATTTATTGGACTCTCTTGTTAAAGTTGTAAAGAATAGTTTTGATAACTGGAACCCAAAGTGATAGTTGCTGTGATTTTAATGCTAGCAGCTGCTCCATTGATATAATGTGTAATGTAAACTGTACATCATATACAGTTACTTAAAAGTGTTTCATGTTCCCATAACTGCCACAGTCAAACCTACATGTACCAAGACTGCGCTTCCTTGGTGCTCTGTTGCTATTGAACCCGTACCTAGAAGAAATTGAAGTAAAGAATTACATGTACATATTGTCTCTTTTGAAAATTCAATCTGCTTTTTTTTTTAAAGCTGAAACTGAAAAAGATGTGTGTTCTGATTCTGAAGACAGAATGATGCTCTGAATCCCATTGCCACTTTATTATAGCAGGACCTTACCGCAATCCCCTTTTTTTCCATGTAAACTCAATTACTTATGCTTGGATGTAGCAGGACAAGGAAAGTCCCAAACTCGGATACAGCGGGAGAGATCAAACGAGCTCTAGCTGTGGGGAAGGGGGTTGGGGGGCTGTAGGCGAGATCCAAACAGGTAGTCAGCAGTGCGGCATTGTCAATGGCCAGTCCAGTGATAAGTGAGATGGGGCAGGCGGCAGAGAGAGAAATGCGGAGAGACACGTTATGTGAGCAACTTCAAAATTTAAAGTGATGTGCTATAACCTGGACGCTCTGTTCCGCATAAGAGTGTATAGGCCATAGCCCTAGACTAAGCGGCCCAAAGAGCAAAAGAAGAGGAGAGCGTGTAGTGTGTGAATCCTGATTCATCATGGGTCTCAATATTCCGCTATTTAGCGGATTTCCGCTATCGCCATTTCCTCCGCTAAACTCTGCTACCGCGACAGCGGGTCAATCAGAAAGAGAGTTGCTGGAAGCAGAGTGACTGCCAGGCCTCGGGAATTACCCGGGAATTTGAAAAAAATCGCCGAGACGCGGGAAAATACATAAAAGATCTCGAATATTATTTGAAAACCAAATCCGATAACGTCTTTAAGTTCATTTTTGCCGGTCGCGATTGTGATATTAATTCGGCTTTTCCCGGTCTGAGAGTATGTTTCACGCGAACAGGCGGCTATGGCGGCAAGCGGAATTGTATGTGACACCGAGGCTCGACCGGAAAATCAAGAT